ACTATTTTAACCGTGGGCTATGGCACTAAATGTATATGTTTTCTAAAGTATTGCAGAGTCTAATTGCAAAGTATAATATCAGATGGCAAAGGGTGAGATCAAAACCAGGAAACGGTTAAGTTTGATTAGTTCACATTTGAGTTTGAAGTGTAGGTATGAATCCTGCTGCTCACGATTATTTTATTTTCGAATTAAAAGCCTTCCTCCTTGTGAAGTTGTCTTTGAAATCTGAATGTGCATGCAGAGGGAAACAACTGGTATTTCTTTACAATGATCATGGTAGCCCTGATTTTCACTGCTGTAGGAAATATCAGGGAAAGAAATGAGAAATGCCTGAAAAAGAGGTTTTATTGGACTACTGCAGCACAAACATTAGCCCCAAACTCATTTATTAAAGGATTGTTACATCTTCAAAAATCACGGATTGAAGGCTTACCGGTGTAGCAAACCAACAGAAGTAACTGGATAGCAAATCCAGTTAAACACTCTCATTTGATCAGTTGGAGTATTTGTTAGAGAGGGATGTTGCCTTTTTTTCCTTGTTGTAGATCTGCCCTGAAATGGCTATTGCACAGTGACTATTTTTGTTTCTTACCGTATGTAGATCCTGATGAAATAGTCTATATATGGGCTCGGGTAGAAATATACCTGAATAGTCTCTAAGAAAGAAGCCCCAGAACAATTCTTTTAACATTAGAGTGCAACACATGGACTTAATTTTGCATTTCAGGATGGAAAAGAGTTAATCTTTACTTCACTGGTAATCTTTTTTTGGAGTAGTGGGATAGCGAAGGAGGGGGAAAAAAATCCTTGTCTGGTCACATTTTCTTTTTAATAGAGTGACTCTTTTTCTCCGTGTATGATGTGATCAACGTTAGGTTGACCATCTCCACTTCCCCAAATTAAAATAAAAAGACAAATACAGAGAATAGGCTGGTTTTGCAAAAACCCTTACTTAAACGTGGCACATTGAGTTGGATCTGTCTCCTTCCCCGCCTCTGGCTAAACAAATCAAGTTTTCACTGTTTAGATATCCCTGTCACAGCCCAATATCGCATTTAGTTTAAAATTACACTGTTTTTTTCCTCCCTTCTCCTTTGTGTTTCCTCCTCCCTCATTTCAGTTCTCAGCAACACGATGACTTGATTTCCCTGAGATTACCCAAACTCGACACAGTTATTGTGCTATCCTGCTTAACTACTTAAATACTCCCTTTTATTGGGAAATGAACTTCATTTGGGGCTTGGGAAGTTGCTTGTTTATTTCGGGGGCAGAAATGTGCAATGGATTTTTTTTCTCTTCTTTTCTTTTCTTTTTACATTCTTCTAGTAATCAAACCCTGAAGCCGTCACCCACCTAAACCGATGTGATCTAACAAGAAGATGGTGATGATCACTCCAATTTGCAGCCCCTATTAATTAAACTGGAGTGCAGGAGAGAAAATTGGGGGTTAACTCTGGTTCTTTAAAGTAGTGACGCTGGTAAATGCTTCCAGATACGGTCTTTGCGGATTTCTCTCTATAGTTTTATTCGTTAGATGGAGCTGGAGGTAGCTGTTACTTTTGAAGAGGGACACTGACACTTATGCACAACTTAGATTTGATCACTTGCAGAGAGTACACGCAGTCTCCCGCCCCTCCTCGCAAAATAGAAAAGGAAGGGGGGGGGAAAAAGCCCTCCCCACCATTAGTGGCTACATTTCATTTCGTTGAGATGCAAGACAGGTACTTGATTTAGCATTTCAGCAAAAGGTTACACAAACCGCGAGTTTTTTTATAAGTGTTGGGGTGTCCCTCCAGGGTCAGCACCAGATCAGATGGGTTTTTGTTTTGGACTTTTTTTTTTTTTTTTTTTTTTTGCATGCGGGCTTAAAGATAATGAGTACTTGTATTAGGGGGAGAGAGAGGGACAAACAGTACTTTGGCATCCTCTGACCCCAGAATGCATGGCTCGGTTTCATTGATCACCCCACCCCCCTTTATGAGATAATGCAATTACAAACATCAATAAGGAGCTGCAAGGGGAATCATTATGCGGTGACAGTGATAAATGACTGTGCAGAAATAGCATGCTTTTTTCTAACAATCCAGGAGCCCAGGGGCTTTGGGGGCTGAGCACAGTCACCAAGGAAACAGATGACATCCAAAATGGCACCAAAGGAAAAAAAATGAAGTCTTTCTTTTGCCTTTCACTCTTCCCCCTCTTCTTCCAAAGAGTTAGTTTTGGCTTTAGAAGCAGCTGCCACACAGGCATTTAGTTATTTCACCCATTAAAAGGACCAGGACGCGCCCCCCCCCCCAAGTCCGCTACATAAAATGCAAAGCTGTGTGTTCAGAGTTTATGAACTACCTTCCAGCAAGTACCTCGGCAATGCAAACAGCACGGCAGCTCTCCCCCGTGCACTAGCTTGGCTGCTCTGCTTGCTGGGGGGGGTTCAGTCCCTGACACCGTCCCTCCGCGCAGCCGGCTTTGCCCGCAGCCTCTGCGCTTGCTGAAACGGCTCCGCGAGGCTATGATGAACCCAGCAAGCGCGGCGCTCCCAGGGCTCCACGCTAGCCCCAAAACAAGCAGCCAGAGCAGTAGGGGTGCGTGTGTATACATATACATCTATATCCCCATCAGGCAGCAGAACCACCAGGTCGAGTGTGTGTGTGTGTGTGTGTGTGTTGGGGGGGAGACACAGCTCGGGATGGCAGAGCGGGATGGGGAAAGGCGGTGTCACGTTTGCACCCGAAGTCACCTGTGGCTGCCTGCTGGGACAAGGAGCCGGCGGGTGGGTGCCGGGATGCCGGCAGCACCTCCGCCTCCCCGTGCTCGGGGTCGGGCGGGCGGCGGGGAGGACAGGCTCTGCTCGGCGCTTCCCAGCTCCCTTCCGGGGACTGAGCAGACTGAATGGGGAAGCCTCCTCGCTGAGTTTCCCTTGCACTGGAAGTGCTCCAAGCACACGCGCACACATACACACAACCCTTGCACAGGATTCCTACCCCCCCCCCCCCCCCGCATAGGATTACACACATAACCCTGGCACAAGATTCCTCCCAGCACACACACAAACACCCCGGCTTGCATCGGATTCCACCCCTCCCCCCCTGCACACACAGGAGCCCTCCCACCCCTCTCCGGGAAGCAGAAGCTCAAAGGTAAGGCGACGGCATCGCCCCCTCGGGGGTGCCCGTTGACCCCGCGGGAGGACCCCCGCGCCCACGCCGGGAAGCACCAGGCGGTCGTCCCTCGGTGGAGGCGCCCGCCCGGCTCTGCTTTCAGCGCCCTCCCGCAGGCGCAGGCGGGGATCTGTAGACCTGCCCGCAGAGAACAAGAGCGGAGGCAGCGCCTCGCCCCTCTTCCCCCGTTCGGGGAGAGACGGGTGTCTGCCCGGGTGGGCGAGGGGAGCAATTAAGACAATCGGTGTCAGACTGGTTTAAAAGCAAAACGCAAATCCTTTTTCTCCAGGGCTTTGACTGCGTCCTCCCGAGGTGGGACGCGGAGGATCGGCGCGTGGGTAAGTGTGCGAGTGTGCACGCGCGCGCGTCACACGACTGGAAGGGGCTCGCCCGCGCCCTCGGGAGGGAGCCTCCCCCCGCCTGGGGCCGAGGGAGCCCCGGGCCCTGCAGCCTCCTGGGAAACAGCCCCGGGATGGGGGAAGAGAGGCCGAAGCGGCTCTGCAAAAAGTTTCGAAGGACGAGCCTGCTGGGCGGCGCTTGCACACGCGCGCCCGCGGGCGGGCACACGCACGCCCAGGCGGCGCACGTGGGCCAGCGGCTTTGCGCCTTGTGTGCGTGTCCTCCCTACACACACACACACCTTGACAAGCCCAAACTCTCCCTGCGGAGTTATGTGGGGGAGGGGGGCTCTTCCTGTGGGGACAGGGCTCGCCCTCCAGCTCCACCCACAGACAAGTCCTAGACTCAGTAGTAGGGAATGACCCCCCATAACGCACACATTGGTGGAGTTATCCTAGGGGGTGTGCCGGTGGGGACAGGGCTCCCTCCAGCTCCAGCCCCAGCCAGGAGGAGCCCTGGACTGAGCAGCAAAGAACGGCGCTCCCCCCCCCCCCCCCCAAGCACAAAATAAAAAGAGAGTTGTTGATTTTTTTGTCTGTGTGTTTTGTTTTGGCTGCTCGGCCATCTGGCTTCATGGTTTGGCGTCCCTCCCTCCCCCCTCACACTAGGTCACTACGGGCCGGGGCTGCGCGCACTAGGCCTGAGCAGCCCCGAAAGGCGGCCAGACGTGCCCGGCCAGAGCCGAGCCACCGGGGTCCCAACACCCCGAGGCGGCAGCAGCAGCGAAGCCCGGCCCTCTCTCACACACGCACACGCGGGCTCTGAGGGAGAAGGGAAGAGGGGCAGGCTCTGGCCCTGCTGCATGTAGCACACCGGCCCCTTTCCTGCCTGGTGCAGGGGGCTGGACACCATGATCGTCCCAGGGCGCTTCCAGCCCCAAACAGTCTCTGAGAACAAACCCGGCGGGCTGGCTTATCCACACACACCCATGCACCCCTTTGCGCCCACACCCCTTTGCACACACACCATGCACAGCCCCTATACACCCCCATACACCTTTGCACCCCCATACACCCCTCTGCACGCACACCTTGGTGCGCACAGACCCCGCGGTTCCCCTGCCCGCGGCGCGGGGCCCGGCGCTTGGGGGTGAAGCCGTCAAGTGGAGCACGTGGTCCCCGGGCTGCTGGGCGCAGCCGCCGGCCCCTGCCCCCGGGGTCCCCTAGCCAGGTGGGGGCTGAGGTCGTTGAGCCCAGGCG